CACACAAAAAGTGACTTCAGAGCAGCCGTCTGTCCGCTGCTGGTGCATCTCAGGAGCTGCACTCCCTTACCGCAAGCGAAGTATCCCGACCAGACGAGTATTTGTCCTGAACTTGCCGTTGTTTTTTATTTTATCCTCCGCTCGCTCGAGAAACCAGAAGTGCGAGTGTAAGAGAAAAAAAATGGCGACGGGAGGGCTGGTCCCGCTTTCTATCAGCACGTCACTCGATGACTGGAGGGGGAGGCGGGCGGAGGAAGTGAGGACTGGCTGAGAAAATGGGGGGTGGGCAGCTGGGTGACTGAGCACGGGTGGGGGTGGGGATACGTTCATGGATACGGCTTCATGTTACTCTAATTTCCAAAATGCTGCATTGAAAAATGAAATAGCCTGAAAAGTGTTATAATCGCAAGCTGCTATATCACTCACCAATGCATAACAAGAGTGTGCAAATTCCAGGCTAGCCTCTAAAAGCAGCTTCTTTTGTATTTTTTTTTTATTCCTTTATTTAACCAGGTAAACCCCATTGAGATCTAGATCTCATTTTCAAGGGGGACCTGGGCAGAAGTCTGCAGTACATAGCAACCTGGTTACAAAACAAAATTGATTAATACATATACACAATTATAAAACAGAATAAAACAATTTAAAAACAGTGACACTGTTTAAAAGATTTATGTCTTTTATTTTAAATGCTATCAACTAAAATTGTAAGCTGACAACAGTAGCATTAAAAAAACATTACAAGAACAATAACATAAAAATGCTGATAATAAATCATTAAAAAGTCGAAGTAAAACACAGTTCATGTGTCCAAAAAAATACTTTTTCCGGACACTGATTTAACATTTCTAGTGGATGAAATACACTGAAATAAACGAAGGTGCAATCAGGATCAAATTAAACACAGCATCTGCATGAAATAAAGCTGTACAAATTAGTTGGAAAAATTTTAAGGAAAGGCATGTCCAAATGAGATAAAAGTATTTCTTTTCAATTTATAAATCATAAATAAACTGATAAGCTATGTGATGTGATTTGTTTGAATGCAATCCAGCTGGAAGGTAAACCTGGGCTCCAATCTGTATGCTTTGTCACCCTTTAACAAGTTAAGTTTGGCTTTACCTCCTTCCAGCTTCCCCTGGCCATTTCCTTCCTGCAGTTCCGCTTGATTTTCTTCCCGGAGCAAATCCCAGTGCTCCGTCTGGGATTTGCTTCATTGAGCTGCGTTTTTCAGGATGCAGTTTTAAAATGAGATCCAATCCTTTACAACTTCAGTGGCTTGTCCACGCCTTCAGCAAGCAATCATTTCTCAATAGCCGAGAATGCCGGCCCTCTTTATGAAGCCAACAAGGGGCTGTGTCTTTTACCAAGCTAGCTTCCCCAACCCTAACCAACTTCCATGTGCTTTCTGAGAAAAAGTTCCCCCATACTATGATGCTGCCACCATTGTGTGTCACCATAACCACGTGCTTTCAAGGTGGTGTGCTGTGTACATTTTCCACCATGTACAGCATTTTGCATCTTGGCCAAAAAGTTACATTTTGCTTCATGGTCTGTTGAAAACTGCAAATGGGATTTCTCATGGCTTTTCTTTAACACAAATATTTTTCTTGCTACTTCCAGTCATTCTATGTTGGAATCCCAACCCGGGCTTTATCCGCATGGCATTTGTATGTTCTCACTGCATACATACTCAGCTTCCTTCCGCAGTTCAAATAGGTAGCTGCTAAGCAAATTAGTTTATCTAAAATTGTCCTTAGATGCGAGTTGCGTGTGTGCATGTTTCTATGTCCTGTTTGTCTGTCGCACTGCTATGGACTGGTGGACCTGTCGGGTTCTCAAAAAGCAAAACATAATCTTGTGGCACTCTGCTAGAGAAAAGAAACAGATCCAGAGATATTTGGAGAAACTCTAATCGTTAACTTGAGACTCAAGGGTAACAAAAAAAAAGCAAAAACTTTGTACAACAAAACAAAACAATACATGTTCAGAAAATAGGAGAATTGGATAAACCAAGGCACACGAGAGAAGCAGGAAGTAAAAGTGCTGAGGAAGGAGATTACTGAGTGAGGACAATTATACTGATCATAAATGAAAGACTAGTGTGACGAGGGGGGCGGGGGTTGGGGAGCTACTGACAACGTATGTGGCAAGGTTGCAAGACAAAATAAATCAAACTACATAATAAATCAAAAGAAAACTAATCAGAAATAGATTAAAAATACAGAAGTATTTCTGTGATTAAAAACTAATTCCTCCTATTTTATGCAGCCGTATCTGAATGAAACCAGGATTATGCTTTACTATAACCCAGACTGCCACATTTAGCAGAAACATGCCATGAATTGCAACCACAACATGACTGAGGAGAGCATATGTCCACAATAGATGCTGCTGATTATAGTGGTGATTCTTTGTGATAAATCGTGACATTAGCTGACCTCACTTCCCAACCGTAAAGCGTACAGTAGGTTTTTGCAGTAAACTCTTTCATGCCACAAGTAAAACATCTTTACATAATTCCTTATTTTCATTTCCTGTTGCTCTCCAACTTCCCCTTCCATTTAATCTCATAATGTGAATTCTTTGGCACAGAACTACGACACATCGATTTGGAGCTACTTCTCTACCGCAGGGTGCTGAAAGGGTGGGAGTCTATTTAAATTCACAGGGCAGTGCCTTGGGGAAAAAGCCTTGATAAAATGCAACATGGATAAAATGATGCATCAGACAAAAAAATTGGTTGAGTGTGACAAGATATTTAGTGCACAGAGAAGCTACTGCTGCCTAGTGATAAAAACAAAGCAGTAGCCCTGTGCTTCTGGTTTTAGTGGTCATGTCTCATGAGACTAGAGGTGGCACAGAGCAGCTCCCACCCCTGGAACACTGTCTGAATGTTAATAGTTCTGTACCCACTGTGTCTTAACTGCTAATGTCTGCCAATTCCCACATTCTAACAATGAAGGGTCAAGGAAACACATTTGGGGGGAAAAAAAAAGCTTCATAGTCTTTAGAAATGTGATTATGGATAAAAATAGTTTTGTTTTTTTTGCTAGTTTGGGTTCCAATATTTGAGGTAACTTATTACAATGCTGTGACAAATACTAGTAAAGTTTTTTTTTAAGGAGTCACAAGGACAGATTTAAAGATCAAATTAAACATTTTTGAGGAACATATGCGTATTACTCTACCGAGGCAGTGGTCACTGAAGATTCATTCGAAAAACAACACCATCTAGTGGAGGATTATCTGATAAGAGGTTAATCTATTACTAAAATTTCATATTTTATTTCCTTACACCGACAGGCTTGAATTTTCCATTTTGGAGACAATGAAGGCTTTCTCTATTCTAAGCTTGGCAATACTATTGGGTTTATTCATGAAACATAGATTGTTAATGTGCAGCTGTGCTATGAAAAGTTATACAAACAGATTTGTATTATGCATGGCTCTACAGGTTTGGGTACCTACCAAACGATTAAAGTTTTGCTTATTTGGAAAACATTAAACTCAAGCGTCATTAAGCAGAAATTTCCAGTTGAATTTATTTAGGTACTTTAGCTCATTCTAACACATTCAAAGTTAGAATATGGTTTTATAGCCTAGCACCACTATGCACTTCTTTACAACCTTAACTCTGGCCTGTTCGGTATGTTCCTATGTTCCTGCTATCTGCAGGTGACGCCATTAGCTTGGCAGGATGATTTCAGCTGTGCTAACAGTCACACCTTCTCATTAAAAACACCTAAGATGACTGCGTCACTTACTAGCTGAAAAATAAGTGAGCTTTATGGCAGCACTGAGGAGAGAGTGGAGGATGTATTGTAGAAGGTGTGCAGAAAGATATCACTGATGTGAGCTGATAATGAGGTATCACCCTAAGATAAACTATAGTCATATTTATTGTATGTATACGATGTGGTATGGAAAGTTCTAGATGCATTCTTAGAGCGGTGCAACCGTCGTTATGTTGCTTGAGCAGAGGAAAATTCTTAAGAGATGCAATCTGCTTTATTATAATAAATAGCGAAAGGCCTTGAGAAATATGTCAGGTCACACTTTCAGTCTCGTACTCAGCTCTCTGGGTCGGTGCTGCTTATCAGAAGCAATCCCAAACCCGGTGACTGTCTAACAAATGAACACAGGTATTGGACCTGAGTCATTTGATAATGAGCAGATGTTTTTGGACTTCTAAGGAAGAAGTGCGGCTGATTCAACTTGGAAACTGTTTGTCACACAAGAAGTTTTTAACACTCCCCATGTTACTGTATAATTCTTTTATGGATCTCATTACTTTAATCGACTTGTCAGTAAGATTTTAAACGTCTGATCAAGGCTTCACGACAAAGCTTTGATTAGACGTTCAGATAATCCAAAGTTCCTAAACTGGATTGTCTGTTCTAATTTCCAAAAAAAAAATGTTTTAACAAACTTGGATTTCTTCTGGATTCTACAAATCACGAACTGTGCATAAACTAAGACGTAAGGAACTTAAATATTGTATGCCTTCTTTCTTTTTTCATTCTCTCTTATTTTAGCTTGTATCCCCATGTTTTAGTTTTCTCTTGCTGTGTTGCTAATTTTGCACTTTTTGACACAAATGAACTTGATTGATTGATAGACATATTGATGGAAACATTCGTTGACATTGACTACAGCAGACCTGTATTTAGAGATGGGGTTTCTTCTTTCTTAATACTGCCCCATTGTTTCAAAACACAGGGTTTTCAGCGTGCAGCTAAATAATTCCATTTAAAGTCCGCATGACCTTCAGCACTACACCGTTAATGTCAGTGTGTGTAAAGGTCCAGTGATTAGGTGTCAGGTTGGAGAATAGGATTGGGTCACAGACTTATTTACCTACTTATACGTTCACATGTTAAAGCTTGAAAAGCTGTGCTCCATTTATAGGAGGTCCTGCTGTACAAACTGTTGGTTCACTGTGGTGGTGGTTTACTGTGAAGAGCAAACGCCAATAAGGATACCAAGAGATAGGTTTGCAAAGTTACATAAAAATAATATTTCAGTTTAATAGAATATTTCTTATGGCTTAGTATTTGTTTTTAATAAGTCTTTAATAAAGATGCGTTGGTGACCAAGGAAAACATCCGGACTTTGGTCTTTCTTGCCAGTCAGCGGAAACCCCGATGGATGTGGAGTTGCTGAATTGACAAGAGCCTGTTCTGTATGTCTGCAGCGCTGGAATCGAGGTGCTGCTTCAGGCCAGGGGGAACTACACCAGCGCGAGAGGGTCCAGCACTGGGGAAAGATAAGTAGACTTAACTTAAAGGATACATTTTGTTAGACAAAGAAAATACTCTTTATTTCTCCTTGAAATCGTATTTTTTTGGTCGTCTGAAAACCTGAAAACAAAGAAATAACTGTGTATTTTATAGATACAAATATATTTAATAAATAAATAAATAAATAAATAAATAAATAAATAAATAAATAAATAAATAAATAAATAAATAAGACATTGCATTTGGCTAGTTGGGCATCACCCCAGACCTAAACTTCACAGAACCAGTGGAAGACAAATCAGCACATACACTATTGGTGGAACTGGGTGAGAACCAAGAGTGCGGAATTTCTTCTCTTCACCAAGTTTGCTGCAACATGCAAAAGAGATCAAATTAGCAGGAAGATTAAAGTATATTCAAATCTGATTCTATGGTACAAATAAAGCACATGTTTATGTCACCTTACCATGGCTCAACAGCAAGGTAGGCTTTGCCCAAACTCTGGTGTTCCCGGGTGATTTTCTTGCTCAGAATTATATCACTAAGCAGCGCCTTCAGACGTGCAATCTATGCAGCGGACACAGATAGATTTGAGTCAGTTTTTCCTAAATAAATATAGAAAAGGTCCTAAAAGCGCATCGTCAAGTGCATTTTTACAACATTTTCAGGCGCATAAAGGGACGCTTTACAGCATCTAACAATGCGCACTTACTTCCTGAGTCTGTAAACTGTTTTCACTGTACAGCTGTTGGATGATGGCCTCACACTCCTGCATTGTAGAAGGACGCGGCGGCAGGTCGGATGGACCTGCCGCGCGAATGCTGTTGATTCTCACAGGCTCTAAAACGGTCTTTCGCAGCCCTGTTAACTCCCCACCGTAGTTTAGTTGTACAGATCGCGGACTTTCGTTAACCTCCCTAAAGAGGAGTAAAAAGTTGTAAACTAAAACCAGCATGAAAAATGACAGTTTTGGTTGTGTAAGTTAAATACCAAAATCCACAATTTTTTTTAAGACTATGCCAAGCATATTTGTTTAAAACAACTCATATAGAGTAGAGTAGGACATCCAGAGCTCTCTGTGTAATTACGCAACTCCAGGCTTAGACTATTGGAGGACATACTTTCCACTTTTTGTCACATCTTAACACCATTATCCACGTGTGAATAATGTGCGATTTTTGATGAAGACGCACCCGGCCAAGTGATTGTGTTTTGCTATGTTTTTCCTCCTACAAACTCGTCGACGGGATTGTTGCTGCGACTCCAGTTTGTGTTCTCACCTTGTTTTTGTTTCAAATAAATAAAGTTCTCCTGACTCTCAGATTCTGTGTTTGGCACCGTCTCTTTCGCAAAGTTATGCTGTCATCATGGAGTTTTACTTTCATAGACATACAGGTGACGTGGGGGATTCTGCTGTATCTTGAAATAAATCTAAATGTGAAATAAATTAGAGCCTAGTCGATTGGTTATATGTAATTGGACACAAACTGTATGTCTTCTTGGCATTAAAAACATTAACCTTTCTTTTTTATGTGTTCAGCAAGTAAATAATTATTGAGATTTTCCTGGCAGGTTCTATGTGCAAATGAATTACGTCCCAGAGTCAAATAAGCAATTATGTGTGACTGTAGGAGTCAGTGTATTGCACTGATGTCAAAAACAGCCAAGGAAACGTGACCATGTTGTCAAAACAAAATAGCACTGCACACTGTTTCCACATAGTAATATTTGTATCTTGCTCTGGTCTCTGCTATTAATAGGCAAATAATTCCCTGGTAAAAACAAAACAGTGAGCTCATTTAGTTAAAATAATTTTTAGAAGTCATGTATGACTGCTAAAAACCTATTCTTCGTTGGGTGTAATAAAACATTCAGCAGCCCCTGACTCTTTTGCATATCCATGTTTAAACTGACCACATCTGCAGTTTGGATCTCATTTTCAATGCAGGATACAGTTTAAGTACAAATCCATGGTGGTTGGACAGAACTTCACCTTGAAGCTTGGTCTTGAAACAGTGAGTCTTCAAGCAGCTCCTCCCCGTAGAGTCCGGAGTGGATTTGACAGGGAGATCTTGCATTTCGGTTGGGCGTTGTTCCTACAAAACCAATGACTAAGCTGAAGCAATCTTTCTAAAGGCTATGTGGTTTACCGACGTTTAGCTAAAGAAATTAACAATAACTACAACAACAAATGAGTAAAGGCTGAGTACGACTGGCTTCTTTGCAAATCAGGAATCACTAATCCTGTGGGGTTTTTAGTGATTTAAGAATCTAAAGCGACTCTAGAGGTACTCATACCCCCAAGCTTTATTCTGTCATGTTACAAACCTGTTACCTCCATCCATCATGTTTTAATGATGTAAAGCCCCCTGGAAAACGTCCCAGTTAAACGACATTTAACTCAAGTTCTAAAAGGGGTGCGGGTTTTAATGTTTTATCTTTTTTTAAAAATCTGATTGATTTTTAGTTAAATGTAGCTCTACAAAGTATTAACTCATAAAAATGAAGGTCAAGCTTTTCAGATAATTGCTTTGTTTATTGTCCTACCTAACAAAATCTGAATACATCGAATTTTGTGGTTGTAACATGACAATATGGGGAAAAAGTTTCAGGGAGGTGAGTAAGGTTAAAGTAACTTAAAATGTAACAAAACTGCCACTGAAGGTGCAATGGAAACAATAATAATAAATCAGGATTGCATCTTACCTTTTTTGCCTCCTTTGCTTGAGTCCATAGTCAATCTATACTTCAGCTCTGCAACAGCCATAAAAGAAAACAGTGTCAACAGTTTGCACTGAGGGACAGCCACTGCATAAGATCGCGGTGCAAAAATTGGGGAGTTAATGTCTCACACAGGTGGCGAGACACTTAGACCTGTTCAGACACCAGACCCTTCATGGACCCCCAGCTGAGGACCAGTCAAAACCCTGGAGTTGCTATGCTACCAGAGTGCCCAGATTGAGTGTTTTTCTTGTGAGTACTTTATCATGGGGACAGTCAGGTCTCTGGCTTGAATTCATTATACTCCGAGTCATCAAATCCAACCCTTGTAGATGGGAAATAATGATGTACAGCCGGCGGCTGATTTGTTAGGCATCAAGTCAATGAAGCTGGCTGATTCATTAATGAATGTCAAAACCCTGCTGATTACCCACTGGGAATGACTAAATTCTATCTAGTCATCTTTCATGAAACAGCCAAATGGGAAAAATTACAAATAACACTTTAAGACTGACATTTATCACAATGCACGTTTTTTGCATTGGTCTGTTTTTTTTTTTTTGTTTTGTTTTTTTTTTTAAGTACATACATTTGCAACATTATGGACAAACCCAGGGTGCTTTGATAGCAATATATGTTGTGTATAGAAAATAAAATTATTCAGTGATTAGGATACATTCTAAGAAAAAAAAAATCTGGAAAAACCACCTTTATTCTCCCTTTTGAGAAAGTCCATTTCTGCGTGGAGCTTCTCGAGAGTTTCCGTTTGCTGCTGTTGCAGATATCGGATGTTCTTCTGGAGGGACATGATTCGGGGATCCACGTCGCTCAGCTGGGTAGTATTTGGCGCGTTTCCTCTGACAATCAGCGAAACAGCAGGCACTGAGTGTCCCGGTGGGCGAGCTCGTGGAGAACTCGCTTTCCTGCTGAATTCAAATCTGGTCCTGAATGTCGACTGAAATATGGGTGGGAGGTCATTACCTGCCATTTTTTTCTCCTTTTTTGCAGCATTCAATGGAACTAGTTGGCTTCTTTTCTACACGGTTTAGCTGGCAGGTCTTTTCCACATCCTGTTAAAGTTCAGCTTAAGCCACATTGTTGTGTTACAACAACCAATTAGTCAGCACAAAAGCAGTAAACGGCTTAGTGAGTCTCCCGGGTTTCTTTTGCTCTTATTTGACTTGCGTTGCACTCAAACTGCAAGTGCACTGAGAAAAACAACGTTGCCATGGCGACCCGCAGCAAGCTGCAGAAATGTCTCGCCTTCTTCTTTGGGGAAAGTTTGGAGTTGTATTCCTCCCCCTTGTGGTGACTGAAGAATATAGCAGCTTCACACAAGCAACAAAAAGTTCTTTCTACACGACTAAAAAGTGACTATTTGATTTCTAATCGTTCTCTTTTACAAGCAGGGTTGGGTGATATAATTATTTTTTTATCTCAGTAAAATCAGTTTTTATCTTCTACAAAAACATAACTCGTATGGGTGCATCTAAATAAATAGGAACATTAATAAATTAAAAAGTGAAACTCAATAGGTTCACAAAACACAGTGGTGTATTTTAAAAGGCTTTTTTAATATTAGCTTGAGGATTATGTTATACAGCGAATGAAAACCAAAAATTAAGGTACTATTAAAATTTAAGTGATATACATTCTCAAAACAAACAAACAAAAAAAAAAGCTTTGAGAGAGAGATTAGCCAGCTCATTGAAAAGTATGTTTATGTACTATTTAGTAAATGTACTCGACAGCTGGCCAGGGCTCCTTTTGCATGAATTACATCGTGCCTGTGGTTTTGATGTTAAAACAAGGAAATAAACCAACTCTAATAAAGCATGCAGTGTTTTCCTTTCAACTAAAACAAAAACGCAACATCCTGAAGAAATTGTCCTTTCACTTTATTCATGACGAAGATCCCCCAACAGTAAAGATTACATTACCAGCAGTGGTACAGGAGATAGTGCGTCTGTTATGGATATGAAAACATTAAAACTGCTTTTGCAAGAGCAAGAGAGAGAATGTGGAATAACAAGCAAAAAGCTTAATAGTCTTTGGGAATGTTCGGGTGGCCCATCGTCTCCCCAGAGTTGAATACAATAACTTAATTGACGACATATAAAAGGCAACATAGAATTAGTCAAGGGAAAAAGAAACATCCTGGAATGTTAGAAAATACATAAAAGAAACGAATTGAAATAAAATCGACGTGATGGTTATGATCAAAGGGCATTGTTTTCCCTAATCGGAAGAAAGATTGTATGGAACAATAAAAAGTGACACATGCGTCGGTTTTTTTCTGTCATCTGATTCGTGGAAGGACAACACAGCAAGTGTAGTGACAAAACGTCTGCAGAGGAACTAATTAATTAATATTAGGAATGTATACTTAAGAGACAAAGACATCATTTAGGACACAACATGAAAAGGCAACAAAGTAAACACACAAAATGTCTGCTCAGATAAATTATCTCTCCAGTTCGTCCTGCCGATTGTAACGCTAAAAAGGCGTCTCAGTTCAGCCTCTCGAGCTAAAATCGCACGCAAGCAAAATATAAAATATGCACTCAATTTCTGGCTTGAGCAGCAGAGGGAATGACATCTCGAGTAAAATAAGGTAGTGGTGGGTTTCGATGTCAATTACATCAGAGTGACATGTTCTGCTTCTCACGAGAGCAGATCTATGCAGCACGTTCTGCACTTAACGTGTCCCACTGACGTTACCGTGTTAAATATCAAGCTTACCAGTTCACACTTGCATGCACACAGCATGAAAAACAACTACTGTTTAAACCTTCAAAAATCAGTCAATCAAATTTAGAAGAGTTAAAAAAAAAAAAAAAAAAAGCAGGGGGTGGGGGGTGAGGGGAAACACGTGGTTAAGTAAAACAGTCGCAATTAAAATGAATCAAAACGGCATAAAGCCTTAAAAAACCCAAACCAAACAATAACTGTTAAAATAAAGCACAAAACAAGAACTGCAACATTTTTTTCAGTGTGAATTTTTTTTTCTTTCGTCTTCTAGAAAACTAGCTTATACAACTTCCTTCTCAACACTCCTCAACATGAAAACATACACAATTTATGACGGTAAATGTAAAAGCAACTAAAACTACACTAAAGCGAATAAGCAGAAGTCTCTAAATGAGCACGGCTACACAGACTGCACACTTTTTGCATACTCCTCTATCTATACAGTACATCAACAGTGCAAAAAACATCCAGCCATTAAGATCAGCTTAAATGTTGACCTTCCCCCTTTCGACATTCAGCCTGATTTTAATGCTGCTTCTTTCCTGACACCCCTACATTCATATTTGACTAGACTCGCTGAACACCCACAACATTGAGAGATAAAATGCAAAAAAAAAAAAATCCCCATGGCAAAGTCTGGAAATCATTTGCAGAAAACACCAGCAATGAGTGTGAAAGCCTATGAGTGTCAGATGAACATAGGTGCAGTTCAAGAAATTTGAATGTTACTAAAAAGTCCAGTCATTTCAGTAAATTAATTTGGTTAAACTCATATTTTCTACACATTCATGCAACATGATATTGTCCAAGCATTTATCTTAGTTAAGATAAACTTATTTATTTTGCTCACACAGACGGCGTGTGAGCAAAATGAGCTGATTTTTAAAGATTAAGCTAGCTGCTCACAGGGTAGGAGGAAGAAACTGCCATAGTCAATTTGTAATGACTGTCGTTGATTCGCAAGAAAAATCACCTGACCTAAACTACACAGAGAAGGTGTGGAGTAAGATGAGACACACAAGAGTCAGTGACGCAAAATAGATAAAGGCAAAAGTTGTTCAGCACACAGTCACTGGCATCCTCCACACTGTGAAGAAATCACCAAAAAAACTGTTTTCTCAGAGTGCTGTAACCAAAGTTAGCTGGAGGGACAAAATTTGGCAAAACGGTAACACCAACCTTTAAAAGAATGTAAAAAGCTGTAAGCGATGATCATCAAAATTAACAGAAATTAATAACTTACTTTATTTTTTTTTTTAGCTGGATTGCTGAAATAAACGGACTTTTCAATGTTATTCTAATTTATTAAGGTGCACCTGTACAGGAACATTTTTGCTAACATGATTGCGATGGCAGATGTAGATGGATCAGATTCAGCCCCGTCTGCATATAAATCTACACTTGAACTGCAGATGTCTTGAGCGTTAACCTGACCTGTTTTCTCTGTGCTTATTGCAAGCCACGATTTTCATGAACAGAATCAAAATACTTCCCTCACAATCTCATAGTGTGAAAAGCAGGTTGTGGCCTTATAATTTTAAGCGCATACTGAATGAGCAAATTCTTATTCATTCGTTGTTTGTTTGTTTTTTTTTAAATCAAAACAGCAGAGGCAGACACTGAATCTACTTCAAAAGTCTTTCGAAAGTAATTTGGTTGTGGTTTTGTGTAATAATGCTTGCATGTACTTCTGCTGATTAAATTTCGCTATGCTTTACAAATGTGTACTTTCTGTCAATAAAGCATGAAAGAATTAAAGATACTGAACAAACATGGGAGGAAATTAGAAATATAAGCCAAAAAAAAAAAAAAAAAACACATTATGGGAACATTTAGCCACAGTGAGTCCTTATCAGAACGTGTCACCAGCTGTGCAGCTTCTACTGCATTAATCTTCTCATCCCGCTGCAGCTAGCATGGATCCTAAAAAGCTGTTTTCTTATGCTAGATAAGCACAACATGAAGGAATGTGACTACTTGGCAAAAACTGCTCCTTCTTATTAGACCGACAGTAACTAGGTGCAAATCTTAAATCTTTTTCGTGGCATTTCCATCTTCAGCAGCAGAGTCCTCCCTATGTCCATAACTGGGCCAACCTCCAGAGTTGAGATGTTTCTGTCACAGTCCAACCCTGAAAACTGAAAGATCTTCCATGCGCGGAACCCTCCGGTGTCTGAGTAAACTTTGTGGTTTTCTTGCGAAAACGAAAGCGTTTCTATGTGAAACCATGAAATGTGGGTGGAGATTTGGTGTCAGAGTGCAAATGGAGGGTTGTACGGCTTCACAAGTCAAACACAGAGACCCGACTGCAGAGCTGTGAGGCGGCGTTCAATGCACTCCTTGCCTGCAGAAACAGGGTCAAAGAAAGACAGAGAATATTTAGTGCAGCGTTAACAGAAGCCTCCAGTTCTCTAAACTGAACCAGTTTTTTTTTTTTTTTTTTTCCTCCCCCAACCCCCCAAAGAACAACAAATACTACAAGTGTTGAGCAGCTGAAAGAGATTCTCACATTTGCTAACACTAAGGATGTCATCCTGTTCAGTGAGGAGCAGAGACAGGCCCTCCATTAGCAGGAGAGCTTTGTGGTAACGCAGGATCGACGCTTCCCCCTGGTGGAACATCTCATCCAGCGCAGCAGCCTGAACCTAACATCACAAAGAGGGGGGACATTAATGGTCTGTTCCATTCATTTAAAAATAGTGAAAAACATTTATTTTATTTTTACTTATTTTTTTTACAAATAAATGACTGAGAAGTGTAGTGGGTTTTTGTTTTTGTTACCCTAATTTATACTTGTAGAACTACTTTTGGCTGAAGGTTTTTTTTGTTTTTTCTTTTTTACCAGTTTTGCACATTTAAAAACTGACATTTACCCCTTTTTTATTTACAAAATAACTCAAAATCTCTCCGATCCGATGGAGAGAGTTTGTAAACACAAACTTTCAAGTGCTGCCTCAGACTTTTAATCTATTTTACTCTCAACTCTAATCAGCATCCTCATCGCTGCTGCACCGCTACATTTCTCAGTAGAAACGGTGTGCGGTTGCGCTGTGTTGCCACATACGGTGTTTTACATGATTAGTTTGGGTTTCTGTGAAAGTCGTAAAATGAAGAGCCATGTGAAACGGCTTTTCTCTGCTTTTCCTTTTAGCCTACCATCTGCACTGTGTGGCTAAAGAGCAGACGCTCAGCTGTGATGGAGCCGATTTGGTCCATTAGACGATGCTTCCTGGAGAAGAAGTGTTCCAGATGAGTGCTGAGCGAGCGGCAAGATGCCACGCTGGACTTGTACAGCTCATTCAGCCGCCTCACCACTGCGAATACAGAGATTGGAAGAAAAGAGGTTTCTGCTTTTGTGTGGCTCACAAAGAAAAGGAGATCTGAAAGACTTTTTGTGACATGAATAGCCTCCTACCTTGTTTGACAGTAGCGGAGGGGTAGAGTTTGCCCTGTTTAACTCGCTCCATGGCCGTGTGTAAGGCAGTAGACAATAGCTCGGCGGTTTTAAGGTAGAGCACCAACTGTTCTGCGTGACTGAGGACAGAAGCACAAAAACACGTCACTTGAGACTTAATTAAAACTTAAGTGTTGTAAAACTGTCAGGGAGAAAAAAAAAAAAAAAAAAATCACTACTTTCTGGGCCTGAATCCTGAACTACAAGTGTGTGCATCCACACACGTTAGACACAACAGTTTCACTTTTAGCTCACTCGACTAAGTATTTAAATGAATTCTAGGCACCTATGGGTCAATTTCCTTTTCAGGTAATATAAAAAAAAATTGGATTGCTTAAAATTTCAATCATGATGATTTTTCTGACTTTTTCCTCTTTTTTACGATACACAATATCCCCAAAACTGTACAAGTATGAAATGGCAAAGAAGCAAAATATCAAGCAACTGCTTCTCAGTGAAGTAATAAAATAAACTCACTGCCAGATTTTAATAACTGCATGTCTGACACCCATTTCAGACAAAAACATGACACATTATGTTTTTAAATGTTAAATCTTATCATTTACAAAGACTGTTACACAGTTTTAAAGTGAAAAACACAATCATATCAAAGCTTCCTGCTAGTCATCCACAGTACTTAATCGTTTCTAGATTAGTAATTACAGAAAATGTAGAGTTGTTTTTTTTTGTTTTCCAGAACGTCACTGTTCTTTTATTACTATAAACACATCAGAGTCATAAGCAAAAACAAACTAAGTAGTGTTTTAACACACGTTGCTTATGTCTGGGGATTTTGGGTGGTTTTATTTGTCTAAATGGAGCAAAACTGAATCATCAACAAACAGTGACATTGACCTTACCTCCACTCTCGGCTCAGTGAGCTTATCTGATCTGCCACCAGACTCTGCTGCTGAAGGACAGCGGGGTGAGAGCCGTCTCCCTGTGCCCCCGCTGTGACTGCCCCGCGAGAGCCAGCCACCTCCATCAGACAGAGGACAAACTCCAAAGTGAAACGCAGGCGCTGCACCGTGTCTGTGTGCTCTTGCTGAACTCCCGGCGAAAGCAGAAAAAGAGGGAAGGGGCGGTAATTTAGAGACAATTTATATCATGCGTCAACAGAAGGTGATGTTACAGGATCTGCTTTGCTGGAAAGAAAACATCGATTCCTCATTTTTGTAGGTAAATGAATCCTAAAATAAGCTCCAGTTCTAAAAAATGTCAACAATCTCACTAGTTTGTGGGGAAACTAGTTCTTCACCTCCATCAGCGTCTCCTCAGGCAGCTCGGGGGCCTCAAAGGTCACAGCGCCACCCATGTTAGCGGTGATAGGATCAGTGAAACTGTAGCGAGGGCTGGGCGGGGCCTCAAAGCCCTCGGGAAAGGTGCCTGTCGGGGGGTAGCGACCGGTCAACGAGCCTGCAGGACTGCCTGAACTGAAGGAGCCTGCATGAGTCAGAAAAAAAAGGAAGACATTTTCCTTCAATTCATCTACTGTGAAATTAATAAAAAAAAATAAATTAAAAAAAAAAAAAATATATATATATATATATATATATATATATATATATATATATATATATATATATATTAAGCAATTACAATGTATAAGCCTTCTGAGGAAATTGCTGTTGATTACTAAACCATATATCAGTTTTAAATAGGATTTTTTTTTACATTATATGTATCCAGATATGTGAAATTAGATCTTAGCCTTGAGAACAAAGAATGTTTCACCTCTAGGTTTTTTTTGTTTTGTTTAATATTGAACTTATTCAGACATTTTTATTGTGTTACCTGAACATTTCCTGTGTCTGGAGGTCTGAGGTGGGGTGCTGCCACTTGGCGGAGAGCCAACAGTGAAAACCACCTGTGCGGGGCTGCAAGAACCAGGTGCAAAGCCGCCACCAGGAGGAGCTAATGAGCAGAAAAACATTGGCTTTGTTTACTTCACGTTAGAGAAAAAACAAATATACAAGAATCGGTTAGGAAGAAAAAAAACAAAAAACAATGGCAGTGTTGATAAAACAGTTCCCTCACGGTTTTACTGGCATTCTTCTGAAAATTATAAAAAAGTTCAAACTCAAGGCTTCAAAATAGAGAAAGAAATCTGCTGATGTCTGGAACCATTTAATTCTAAGCTTTTAAAATGCTGAAGATGCAGCCTGAATTCATCCTGAACTGTCATAGCAGAAAGAAGAAGAAGAAGAAGAAAAAAATAAAATAAAATCAACATTTTAATCCATCCTCTGTAAGATACACACAGACCTGTTATGTCTATGGCTTTTTCTGAGGCCAGGTTCTCCGCGCTGCCTCGTTCTCCTGCATGTCCTGCTCCAAACGCAGCCATCAGCAGCATGTCAGACAGACGGCCGGCACTCTGTGACCTGAAGCAAGCAGACAAGAAACAGCTTTGCTTTCATAAATCTGTCCGCTTCCCATCAATTCTCTTCATGTTCGTCCATATCCATCTACTCTGAAAAGGTTAAACACTACTCTGACCTTTTTCCATTCCAGAAAAAAAAAAAAAAGACAAATCACTTCAACTGCAGTTTTACAAATGATAATTAATTTCAAACTAGAACTAACAAGTTAGAAGCAGTTAATAGATAATGATGGACGTCCTGTTCATGACTAGTTTTATACCTAAAGAGAAGATTCCTGTGTCTAAACAACTCGTTTGTGATTGAAAAGATAAACAGTGAATGAATGAGCCTGACCTTCCAAAGCTCCTGCCGTCGTCGTTCGCTCTGTGGACGCAGCAGGCTGGGTGGGTGGACGGTGCTGGCGCTTGTTGCCCCAGGTCTCTGAGCTCTCCCGGGGCGGTCCTGCTACCGGGCGAACCAACAACCAAGCCCTTCTGAGTCAGGAACGTCACGAGGTTTGGAGAACTTGGCGGCTTTGGGAATTCAAAAGGAGGGATAGCCTGAGAAGGCGGACAAGTAAGGAAGCATTAAATTTATTTTTGTCCTGTGCGTGTGGGGTAAATTCACGGAGACGGTCGTCTCACCCTGGACGGGGATCCCAGGATGGTCGGTAGAGGGTTGCGCTGCATCAGCTCGCTGAGTCTGGGGGAAGAGTGGAGCGGCCGGAGGGTCATCAGCCCGGTTGGAGGGACAGCGACGGGGTCTGAATGCTGCTTCTTGATTTTCTGTCTGCTGCCGCCAGTCGCGCAGTCCAACAGACAGGGGGCACTGTGGAGCCGTGTGCCAAGCCCGGGTGCCTGTGGCTGCTGCTGAGACGTCTGCCTCGACTCAACGTGCTGCGGGCCTGGAGAGCGAAAAGCAACTTTGACCCTCTAGTATGGTGCAATGCTTGGAATTGTTTTTATTTATGTAGATTTAAAATAATATTAAAGCAAAAAAGCAGAAAAAAAAAATAGGGGAAGTTCAATCTATATCAATTCAAATAATTCCTTATCTGCATGTCAGAATACAACAAAAGGTTAAAAGGAAACACCAAGAGCAAACTTTTTTTTTAAATCATTCATAAAAACCCTAAATGTATCTAAAAGAGAAATGCTTGAAATCTACTCATTACATGAAACGGTTTTTATAACATGCAGCTTCCTTTAGTACCTTGAGGAGAAATCTGGAATGTTCTGGTCCCTCCCAGTGAAAGCCTGCGGGAGGAGGGGACCGCTCCCTGCCACGGGGCCGAAGGTCCTGCTCTAGCGTGGCCCACCAGGCTTCCACTGCTGCCGCAACGCACCGCTGTTGACAACCTGACAAAAAAAAAAAAAGAAGTACATTACTCAAGTTTAGCTGAGAAACTCTAAAAAAAAAAATACTTCAGCATTAGTTTCAGAATTTCATATGTGCAATTGTTTGGTTGTGGGATTGCGTGCTGGTTAGGATACAGACCGTGGTGAGCCGTCCTGCTTGGTAGACTGAAGGTTCAGCTCCATGCGATGGTAGTTCTGGACCTGCGTGGGGACTGGGATAGGCAATGAGTGAACATGGTTTCCACAGCTACCACAATAATTACTGCCAGGGAACTCGGTGGGCCTGGAAACAGCAGAGAGAAGGGCAGAGCATGAGGAGGGGATGTTCAGAGCACAAACAGCAGACAGTTATGTTTTTATGACAGCTTTTTTTGGGAAAGCCCAGCATCATCTCGAAGATGTGGCATTCTGTTCATATACGGTCAGAGCTTTCAGAGGTTACTAATGGGATTAAAACCAAAACTCTTGAAATCCCTATTAAAGGTCATCGCCAGGCTAAAGCCAAGCAACTAGGCAGGGAATATTATCTTTCAGCTGAAGGCTCCTAGAGGCGCAAAATGGAAGATATCGCCTCAGGTTGTGGAAAATGTTTTTCTCTGTTTGAGAAGGATTGAATTACAGGCCTGTTGTAAACACACCAAACAGCTGTGAAGATTTCTGAAGACGAGATTGGGCTGAAACCGTCCAGTCTTCACACCCGAAGGCTTACGGTAAACTTTAATGAAACAATTTTAACATCGTTCGTTTAAATGCTGAATGAAGGTAAATCACAATGTTGAACAGTTTGAGGATTTCAATGTGGAATGCAAGGATAAGCTTATGTTTTAGGACTGGCATCTGCTTCACCTTCAGAAAAAGAAAAACAATATTTGAGTTAATTTGAAAATTAGAGGTTTCAGTTTTTAAAAGGAGGATAAAGTCAGGATGTGGGTGGGGAAAAAAAAGAGAAAAAGTCGTGGGTTTTTCAAACTGTAGAGAGAAAAAAATAAAGCGATGAAACGGTTATGCTTCAAGTCTTATGCACAGGCTTCTTTTGGTAGTTTTAATATCTGCAGTTTATTTGAAAAGTCAGCTTCAGTAACAGAAAGTGAGATCGGATGCCAAAACTTCTGATGACAGGGATTTTTTTTAATCACTAGATTTATTTTCTGTTCAATCACAAAAAAGGATTCTTCAAACTCTGAAAAGAAAGAGTGGAAATTGACCCAGAAGCTGATCTTTAAAAACCAGTTTCTGTATGTTTATGGGCTCAAGACATGAAGTAGGAAATGATTTTTTTAAAAATGCTGCTCACATTGGATAACGTCACACACAGTGCCTTGTAAAAGTATTTATTTCCGTTGAACTTTTTTTACGACACCTTACAACTACTGATTCCAATGCATCTTATTGGATTTTATGAAACAGACCAACACAAAGTAATGCAGAACTGTAAATTGGAAGGAAAATGACAGGTGGTTTTTGAATAGCTTTGACCAATAAAAACATGAACAAATACCCTGGAAGCCTCTTTTTGGTTAAACTGCTTTAGCACGCCTTTTAGGGTATGTCTCAACCAGCGTTGCAAAACGTTCTTTGCAAAACAGCTCAAACTCGGTCAGCATTTGTGAAGAGCAATTTTCAAGTCTCGCCAAAATTTCTAAATATGACTGATGTCTGGACTTTGACTGGGTCATTCAAACACATTTTCACTTTAAAATTCCAATATCATTTTGTGCTTAACTTTCATTTTACAGCTAGATCTCAACATTTTAACTCAGTACATGTACCTGACAGGACTTGGAGAGCCACTGTAAGAAGGAGAGTGTGGTGGTGTTTTTGCTTGGTTACACAGACCAGCTGAAGCCAAAAGAGAGCTAAAAAAGATTTTAAAAAAAGAAGATAGAAGAGAACATCAGAACATAAAGAACTGTACTTCCTTTGATTTTTTTTTTTAAATAACTGCAAATGTTCTGGGATGAAAAGACATTTATTTTCCAGGATAAATAAAGTCAGTGCCTCTCACCCACTGTTCATCAAACTGTCCTGCAGCACTTTACTCTCACAAGTCAGTTCACCTGCTGGAAAGTCAATCATATGAAAATAACACACCAATTAAAAAAAAAAGCTTTGCCAATAATTACAACAATATATTTAATAACTTTTACAGTTTCATCTGATGTTATTTACACATATCCTCACTTGTAAAATGAGCAGGCACCATGACAAAATCATCTGTATCGCAAGAGGAGGAGTTCTTGCTGCTGCCGCCTGCTCCAGACGAGTCCTTCAGGAGAAAACCTGCAGCCTCCTGCGTTGGAGAGGCCAGAACTTTGGCACGCAGATGCTGAGTCTCAGCTAAAGACTGCTGCAGAAGGAAGCGGACACAAAAGAACCAGAAGAAGAGTGTGAGCATAAAGTGTAAAATGCATACCATTTGGGAATGGTTGAACAGGCACAGACTATGTACAGACTCATAAATTGCATGCAAACAGAAGCAGAGGAATAAGAGAAAAAAGTGAGTACGAACCGGTGGTGAGGCAAGGTGAGACGTGGAGGAGCTGCTACAAGAGCTGGCTGATGCCGAACTGGGCAAACAGGTCATGGTCACTGTAGGGACGGCTGTGATACAACGCAAAACAATTGTTAAAATGAGTCGTATAAATAAAAGGAAAAAAACAAAAAAACAACTTTGGTCGTGAGCAGTAATCATAATCACTTTTTAATCCAACCTTTGGTTTAAAAGAAATGAAAATATGCCAGATCACACCCAACCAAGCTTTAAATAGAGTAATATTTACTTTTACTTACACTTTTTAATGGATGAGCTTGCATCCAAGAAAGGATGGGTAAAAAACTCATCTGAAGAAAGAGAAGAAAATAAAGAATAAGTACTGAGCAATGGTGAAAAAGCTGAGCAGAATTCAAAGTAATAAATAGAAATAGTTTAGAGAGGGTTTGCACTCGTTTCATCAGGTTTCATGTATATGGAAGAGTTTTATCTGAGTCTTTTTATGACAGTGTGACATCTGTCAGAAAGAGCATTTTGAAAGGGTTAAAACTGCTGACTGTCACCAACCAAAGTCCATACGATCCTTGTGGTTGCGTTGCAGCAGACCGAGCAGCAGGTTCCTCAGATGGCTAGAAGTCTCTCTGGGGATGCTGCAAAAATATAAAACATTAAAATCTAAAGAGGGATTTTTCTAATAGCCTTGTTTGCTCTCAATGTTCTACCTTAAATAATCATGTTCATTAACAAAGAAATCTCAAAAACTATGAACATGGCTGTCAGTGTCAGCTTTTATGAGACACAGTAAGCAGCTGGTATGTCTGACCTACTTGTTTTGCAACATTTTAGTTCGCAATCCAAGTCTAAATTCAAGCAAAAGTAAGGCAGCCAATGAAAAACAATTATTAGGAACAAACCAGGGGACTTCACATTCATTACTCCTGTTTACCACAAAACACTGTTGTGCTAACATTTCGTTGTTCAGTTTAAAAGATGCAACTCTTACTTGGGACTCAGATTCTTGTTTTTCTCATAGAACAGCCGGAGGTCCTGGGGACTGCTGGCCTAAAGGCGATGATGCAAAATATGCAAATATCAATGGCATGTCGACACAGCTACTGTACAGCACAAGGGAAGTTTATTATTGAGCACTTCTGTCTGTTACGACTCATCCTTCCTTTGTGTTTCTAACGCAGCACACTCAGGTACGAAAAGAACAGACATGTTTCACGTTTACTTGCTGCTGGGCCAGCAAGCAAACGTGCTGGCCCACATGCACTTTTATGCAAAATATGCTAATTTATTCAGAATATGAATTCATAACATGTAATAAAACTGTAAATAAGTCTCAGTTATAAAGTTTTCTTATTCCCTGTACATGATCAGTAAACAGTATTACTTTTGATTCAGTACATGCAGTGCTAGACATAAATAAAGGTCACACACCAATATTTCATGGAACGCTTTAGGCTTTGACTACATTCGCTGTAGCACAGTTTTGATATGCTTCAGCAATGTCACAAGATCTATTTCTGTCTAGTGTTGCATTAATTTTTTATCAAGATCTTGCATTGGTGATGGGAGAGTCCAACCACTGTGCAAAACTGTCCTCCAGAACATCCCAAAGACATTCAATGGGGTTAAAGTCTGAACTCCATGTGTGAAAAACGATGCATCATGCTCCCTGAACTCCTCTTTCGTAAGTTGAGACAGATTAATCCTGGCATTGCCATCTTGGAATATGGCCGTGCCATCAGGGAAGGAAAAATCCACTGATGGAATAACCTGGTCGTGCAGTGTTTCCAGCTGACCTCATTCTTTGAGTACATAGAACCTAGGAGACTCCAGTGATGATAGATGCATCACTTCATCTGCCTCTCTTCTCACCCTGATGCGCTCATCACTCTGTCAGAGGGTAAATCTGGACTCATAAGACCACATGACCTTGCTCCAGAGTCCACCGCACACTGAAGTCTTTTTTTCCTCCAGATAGCCTCCCTGATTGCATTTCCTTCACATTGTGCATGTGGAAATCCCCTTGCTTTCACTATTAAACATTATCCTGAGTTCTGTTGTTGCCAGATATCACGGTCATTTAGGATTTTTTTTATGACCACATTTCTTCGTCAAAGACGATGGTTGCCCTCCATCCTTCCAGTTTTTAACGATGCATTGGACAGTTCTCAACCCAATGTTAGTAGATAGTAGCAATATTCTTATACGTTTTCTCTGCTTGATGCCAATAACTTGACCCTTCCTGAACAGGCTAAGATCGATCTTATGGGTGTTTAAGAAATGAGAAGATACTCATTCTGCCAGCTGGGGAAAATACTTGTTACCGCATGACAGAAGACATTTGTCCATGCAGTAATGGACCTTTAGTAACTTGTGACCTTTAGTCCTGTCTTGTTTTAAGTATTTAATAACAGAAATGCTGCTGGGATAATGTTTTGTTTGTGTGTTTCCAATTTTGTTGATGTGTTTTCAGATGCACAGAAAAAAAAAAATCAGCACAAATAATAACAGTCGATTATCTTATCTAGTAAATAATCTCTTAGGGACTGGAAGGACTGGATAGTCAAGTTTGTATTTCCTTCTTGGTAAGCTTAGAAGAATGATGCCTAAAGGTTTCCTCCACAGGGAGGAGGAGCTGTGATACTCCACAACACAGACTGTGCTGCTGTTCTACTTTAAAAGATAACATTTAAGCACTTTGAGAAGCTTTTAAGATTTCAATCAATGTAGTACGAAATGTAGATCCTTCACTGAACAATCATATTGATCTGAATAATACAGAATACAAAACAGTTTGTATCATCATATCATTTGACAGACATTAAACCTGAAGGGTTTTTTTTGTCTGTCATGGCATTCTTCACCAACATATAAAGTGTGTTTTTACCTGAAAAGGAGCTTTACCAGTCAGACACTGAAATACGATGGTTCCTATACTCCACAAGTCAGCCTTGGCATCATAGTTCTGGGACATAATGACTTCAGGAGCCTGTTGGGGGAAATAAAACGTGAGACTTAACAATATGTAGTTCTGCTCGCATGATTACTTGTAGGCGAGTGCAGTAAATACAAATGAGTCAAAGGAAGACTCATTGTTGACATTACCATGTACATGGGAGAGCCACAGAGTGTAGCTGCCATCATGTTGTTCTGAAGGTATCTGGCAAAGCCAAAGTCCGCTACAAAGAGACAGGAAAAAGATGAGGAGGGACAAGTGAACATCCGATGCACACAAGAGAAGAACTTTCTAGAAAAGCTGCACATTGCTTCAAATTATGTTTAGACCCCCAATGGAACTTCAAATTGAAACAGAATTTATTGAGAGAGTGTAGAATAAACTTATTCTAGGAGGTTTTCCAACTTTAAAGACTTGGAGCTTATGTCCAAAGACAGCCAGTCAAAAGTATCAGATAACAAATTATGTACATAACTAGAGAGATGCGAGTACCGTTATGCAGAACTTTATAAAAATGTCAGCATAAGTAATGTTGCATTTCTTTCTAATTATTAGATCGTTTTTTTAAGATGATATATGGTAATAAATACCAGAAATAGAGCACTGAAAACACACCAGAGTTATTTTATCACCGACAAAATGAACACACAGGTGACCTTCAGCGACCCAAAAAGCATGAAAGTGGTTCAGGTTATCACCAGAAATGTTCAATTCTAAATTTCCCAGTTGCACTGACTTTCATCAGATACAGAATGAGCCACAACACTGCTAATCACAGGTGCGGGGATAAGACTCAAAATTAAAGCTGGGGAGGGGGGGGGGGGGAATTTTCTGCCAACAATTTTTTATTCTAATCTTACAGGAACACACAACGGATTTGCCAGGGTTGTAAAAGGAAAGAGCGGATCATGGAAGTTTCAAACTGTGTCTGTTTCAGGTGAGATACTGTGAAACATGCCAAGTAGTCATTTACATGATTAGAAGTGTAAACGGTGATTGGGAGAAGACTTTTATAAATATACGAAATGTACTACGGATAATACCAACACACTGTTTGGCACTTATGTTTCACAAGACCAAAATGTTTAGAAAGACAACGTCTTTCCCCACAGAAAGTTGTGAAAAACTCTTCCTTTACAATGAGGAAGAGTGTGTAATCCATATGAAGAACAGAAAAATTAAACAAGAGTATGAACACAATAAATAAATACATAAATTTTAAACTGAATTGGACCTCAATATAAAAATAATAAATCTAGAAAGTTGTTATCAAGCTTGTTAACCTGTATCATTTTATTCCCTGTTATACGGCACTCCATAAAATGTATTTGGTTCAACTCCAACTTGTTTTCATTCTCGCATGTAACCCAGTTTGTTGTGAAAACAAATACCTAGGTTACATAAAAACACCGATAAAAGGATTTCATAAGAAATTGGGAGTGCTGCCAATTAACACTGAGCAAACAGAAGAAAGCTGTAATCATTTTTGAAGTACACATCTAGTGGGCATGAAGGAAATAGCCTTGATAATAATGCATGACGTACTCTGACACAGATAGGAGATCAAGGAAGAGAAAAGTCATAACATTTCCAGTAAACACATTCAGACAGAAATTTCTGACACTTTTCCATCAGTTAAAAACTGTTTTAATAGTGAAGAGGCTTTCACTGTAGGAATAGATCTGGTCACAGACCTCTTTCCCTCTTTCTTGGTTGTTTATCAGGTTTTAATGTGATTCACTTTTAGGATATGCTCTAAACAGCCGAAATGAAAACAGAGAGCCAACAATGAGGAAACTCATTATAAGAAACCTACCGATCTTGATGCAGGTGTTGTTAGAGTGAGACTTTCGGCCCGGTGGGTAGGAGAGCAGAATGTTCTGGGGTTTGAGGTCCCGATGGATTATTCCTTTGGTCTGCAGGACTTTCATGGCCCCTGCAATTTGTTGCAGGAAAACCCGAATAGTGTCCTCGCTCAGTGTGCCTTTGGCTGCAGAGGCCAGACGGAAAACAAAAAGTGTTTGCTGACGTAAATAATTGCTTTACGTTTTCCCATTAGAAGCTACCAATCTGTAATGTCAGGCAGTTTTATTGTAATGCATTAAGTCAAACAGGTCCCTGCTTCTAAGAACTAAAGAGTGATGAAAATCTTAAAGCTAAAAAAGAGAGAGAGAGAGAGAGAGGGTACTATTTTTGCTGAATCCTTAAAAAAATATTCTCCCTGTAAAACTCAGGCTGTCACTGAAGCAGAGCAGAACTTTAGTGTTTTAAAGACTGTTACATTTAAAAGAAAAAACATCCTCCTATAATGTAAAATCTGCTTTCTTTAGCTAAGACCATTAAGAGAGCTTCTCCCAGCTCATGTGACGAGCAGCGACTTAAGTATGCATTAGGTTGCATTAACTTTCAGCCGGGTAACAAACTCCTCCTTCAATCAACAATATTTTAAATGTATCATGTTTCGCCTGTTTTCTTGCATATATTCTTGTTTTTCATGAGATTTTTTTCTAGATTTTTATATGAAATAGCTATAATATCAGGGGGAAAAATCACAAGATGATCAAATTGATATTTTCCCATATTCTATATTTATCCTGACCTGGAAAATACCTCGATCTAATTCCATATACTTTTCCTGACAACAGAGAAACCATGTTCCAAGTAGCAGGTTAAAAAATCCTGGATTTGAATACAAATACAAATTGGTATTTTACTGATGTGACCTATTCACTTTTCATGAAAGATGCAGTCATTTCCACTAAGAAAACGCTAATTTCCATTGAAATACATTGGCTGCTAATCGAACAGTAGATCCGTTTTTATACTTACAGTGTAAGTAGTCAGCAAGATCGCCGCCATTGCAATACTGAGATCAAAAAGAAAAGGAATTGTTGAGAACCATCTTAAAACTACGACTTCCTCCAGATTTCAGAGAGAGGCTAATGGAGTGGAGACCACAGAAGGGATTCTGCATAAATGTGATCACATATTCACACCTAGAATTAAAGTAAATTTAATGAGGTGTGGCAAGTGAGGCTCTAATTACACTTTTCTTCACTAAGATAGAAACATAGGAATTAAGTACTAAAAGTAATCTGCAACGAGAATATAAAAAGCATCCATAATTAATTTTTAACTGGACTAGAACATGTGGAGCACCAGAAAAGATACAAATTTCTAAATTGAGTGGTGGTGGACTTAGCATGAAAAACATTCAAGTTTGAGCTTCATTTGAGAAGGCTTTGCAAACTGGCCCAGCAGTTGCAAAAGCAACAGATCATTTCTGGACTGGAAACCATTTAACCCCCCCAACTCCAGGCCTGAGGGGTCAGCTAGTTATAGCTCCTCCCCTGAGATTATGGAGACAACGCAGTTCTAAGCAAACAAAGCAACGTGTCGTAGCAAAGCTTACCTCCATTACCAGGTACACTGAGCTGGCAGTTTCCTAAAGAGGGAACAGAGAAGAGCCGTACACAAACACATTTCAGTCAAACAGTAACGAGAAAACAGCCTGCAAGAGAACAAACTGAGCTAAAAACTACAGAGGATAAGACACAGCTTATGACAACCATGAAATCTTTGCTAGAAGCTGAATCGTCTCTTTGCACAATTTAATAAAACAAAAAAAATATGCAAAAAAAACTGAGAAAATAAGAATTTAACCCTAGTCTAGTCCTAGTTAATATTTTAATGATATTAGATAAGCTACCAATTTAGATCTACATTTGAAAATTAACTTTGGCCCAAAGAAAAGGGGAAAATGATCAACACTCGATTGTTTTAGCCAACAGGATAAAAACACTTGAAATGGTGACTTCAATGTCAACAAGTTAAATTAACTAGTTTATATATATAAAAAACAAAGAAATATATGATGATATGGTTGTTCAGAGAGATTGAAAGCTCCCAAAATGTTTTTATTTTTTTAGTTTGTCACAATCTTTTCGAAACAGTTTGGAGGAAAACATGAACAAAAAAAAAACCCCAACAACATAATTCAGCTAACTTCAAAACACCCTCTTATCACATAGCAACAGATGACAGTCATCTCTCACTCTGACCCCGATTCAGTATCTGTTTGAATGCAGCGGTCAAAGGCCAGACTGTTTTCTGTAGCTCAGCTGAGTCAGGGCTTCTAACGCCGGCTGCTTGTGGCTTCACTGAGAAAAAGGACAGCAAACAGGTTCTGGCAGAGAGCCGGCAGAGAGCCAGAGGTCACAGGCTTTCTCAAAGAATTGAGGCAGAACATCTCTGGCGGATAAAATGTTTGCTCTTGTTGCTAACGGTTTCACAACAAAGGGAGCTCGCATTCAGCATAATGTCAAACCATGTTGTCACTTTGCAGAGTTTTCAATAAAATCACACAACAGGACCAAAGTGCGATCAAACAACTAATACAACTGACATTTATCAGTTTAACTACATCCACTCCATTTAGTGTGGAGAATATTTTACTCCTTTGCATTTCTGATTATTACAGTTTAACACCGAAAGTCAAACAAGCTTAAAATTAGCCAGTTGATTTAGTTGGGCTATCTGCTGAGGAAACTAGTCTTCTGTTAGTTTCTTAAAAAGATTCGGTGCTGGTAGTTTGTCCACTGTAATTTTCAAACATATGAAAAGAGTAATTGTGGCACTCCTTTAGGCCTAACCCATACGCCCCAGTCCGCTTTCCCACCCGCCCAACCGTGAAGCCTGTGTGAAGTTACTTCTACCATCTTTACCGGCCCACTTGGATTTGCTAGGCACTTTATCAATTAGGAACCACAAGAACACAAAACAACATTAATATTCAGATAAGAAATGATTTTGCTTTGTGCTTCCTGTCCTTCGGGTAAACAGTGTTCAAATCTGCTCGATATCGCCCCGTAAGGCACTGTAGGTAAAACTGTAAATCTAAGTAGAGCACTGTAAGTCAACCGACCTAGAAATAGTTTAAAAAGGGACTGTGAGATCTAACCAGCTTGAGGTCACAGATGTGGAGATGCATGTCAAAGCCTTAAACTTCCAGCCAATAGTTGTCAATGTTTTTATGCAACAGTAAAAAAAAAAAAAATCCCATTTTTTCCTAGTAAGTAAAGGAAATGTGAAGTATTTCAAAGAAATGACATTTAAAATTATTTAAGATTTTAAGCTGGCTTCCATCTTTCTTTGCAGGACAGTCTGAAAAGCAGATTCAATGCGAAAGCCTGGATTTTGCTGGAGAGCAGTGCTTCGTTTGGTGTCACTTTCTTTGTGACCTTCCGAGATGTGGATCAATGGACAGATTAATCCCCAGCTAAGAACATCAACACAAACCTGTAATCTTAGAGGCCTGGCTTGGACTGTCCTATGAAGAAACAGCTCCTGTCACTCTCTGCCACCCGCTGTCAGTGAGGAGTGCAGCTCAGTTGTGCTTGGCACAAATGTGACAACTTTTTTAAAGAGATTTTTTTTGTTTTATTTTACCAGGCTACTGATGATGACCTAACAAAGCAGTTGCATACTTCACAACAACAACAACACCAAGCTACAGTTTCATCAACAGTACTGTAGCTCAGTTCATTTGAACCAGTCATGCAAAAGCCAGCAGGTCCTGATGCGCTATCTATAGAAAAATAGAGTTTAGAGAACAAAAGGTATTCTCAGAGGTGGAAACAACAACTGCCAACAAGGCAATTAAACATCCAAAATCAGAAATCACATGCACATCACGGTACACTTTTGAATTATTTGCAAATTAAGGATTTAAAAAATGCAACTCTTAAACATCTGAACTCATTTAAGAGATTAAAGATTAAAAAAACAAACAAAAAAAAACACAGCAATGCTTCATCGCAAAGTAAAAAGAGTCCTCCATCAAACAGTGAACTGTTGTCTCATTAACATAGCTTAGGCTAGTATGATATAAAGTAGCATTGTGTTTTTCATCCAGCTCATAGGGTGTTAATTATGGACTAAAAACAAAAGGAACACCTGCTGAGATCAGATAACATTTTGTGAGGAGACATGAGGGACGTGATATAACAGCGATCCAGGAGGTGTTGCAGCAGGCCGCTTCAGATTGGTAACTAAGCTACAGGCAACAGCATTAATGTCACTAAGGACTCAGGATTGTCCCCTAACAACGCAGCAACCGCGCTGACAGTAAGTTAACAGATCAATATGTATAGCTACCCGATTGTCTGGATGTAAATACTGCAGAGAATCCCAAAACACATTATTTAGGGGTAAAATTTGCACTACAGATCCCAGAGAGCTTCTTAACAATGAAGACTGGCAGAATCGGGTTTTGTGACTGCGTGCAAAATGTAAACACAGGAAGTGATGACTGTGCTCAAAGGGACACAAAGTCAGGGTGTAAACTGACACTAAGATCTGTTTTCTACTGAAGAATGAGGGTCAGACAGAAGATAGCCAATACTTTTTGCAGCAAAGAAATGAAGAAAATCCTCTTTTACAGAGTAAAAATGCAAATAAACATGCAGTAAAAGAGAGAAGGGGGGAAGGCAAACATTAAACATATATGCAAGAATGTATCTTCATTTTCCAATTGCAGAACAAGGGAAATGCAACAAGAAAGAATGTGATGGTATTTCTAACTAAATAGAAATACCAAACTGTATTTGGCATTGTAGCCCTAATTAATTACATACATACATACCTGAAAGTCCAGTAATGCAACAATGTTCTCATGTTTCAGTTCCTGTAGAAATGTCAGAAAATAAATATTGGCTTTAGGTTGAAGCCTTGACTATTCACAGACACACAGTGCCATAAAGCATGACATTTTGGTCATATTGCAATAACCAACTTTAAAGTATTTTACTGGGATTTTCTGTAACAGGTCAAACACAGAAATTGGGAATAACAGTAAAATAGAAATAAATTGATGAATACTTTGCCAAATTTAGTAGATATGACTATCAGCTTTGCACATGCCAGACATTTTTACCCGCATTTGTTCCTTCCAAAATAGCTTAGCCTCGTGAGATTAGACAGACAGTGTCCGTGATCAAGTCTTGCCACAAAGTCCTTGAATTTCAGTCTGGACATTGACTGGACCATTCTAATACACAGACTATGCTTTAATCTACACCTTCCACTGTAGCCCCGGCAATACATTTATACTCATTCTCCTAGAAGGTTATCCTTCAGGTTTGCTCTGTTTTTAGATCTATTCATCTTCTCCCTTCAACTCTGAGCAGTCCCCCAAGAAAATAATCTCCACAGAATGATGCTACCACCACCATGTCGCAAAATATGGCAATATGCTGATCATTTATTGCAAAAAAAAAAAAAAAAAAAAAAAAAAACAAAACAAAAAAAACACGTCCATTTATACAATTGTGGATTGTTGAACAATTTGGTATTACTATGTTTCCACATGTATTTTCTTGCAGCAATCCCAATAACTCTGGCTCACCTTCAATATTTTGATCTCTTTCCCCAGCAGCGTCTGAGATTTGGCCAAGTTCTTCTTGTTTATGCATTTCACTGCCACCTCCCAGTCGAGTTTCTAGAAGGAAATATATTTCACAGAAGATCACTTTCTGGGTGGAGGGAACAACTGCAGTTCTCAAGAAATTTTGCAGATTTTTCTGCATTTTCATTCGATATATCCTGCAAAATAAATTTGCCAACATTATGCATTCAACTTAAGTTACATAGAAATGAAATATTTAAAACTAAAACAGGTATGTGTTTAGACATGTCCAGCGTTTGCACACAGGAACATGAAATTTAGCATGCATTACTTCGCTTAGTTACGTTATGTTAGTTCATTTAGCCGCCTTCAAGTTTAGATGACTGAAATAAAATGGTTAAGTAAATGAAGCCATAATAATTAATATGCATTTGTGTACAGTACGTGTTTCAACATGTCCATCACTGGCCTTTGTAAAGAGCTTTTATAGGAAACAATACGAGTCTACTGGCCTATATTTAAATTTGCAAAGTCGACGTGCAACATCTGCACATGTCTATGGCGACAAAAACAAGAAAAGGCCACAAAGCAATCATGTATGCCTTCTTTAAACATTTTTGCAAGACTTGCGAAGATTATTTAAGCGTTTTATGCGATAGCTTGGTGGTTTTCAGGGAATATCCTGTCTTTTAGACCAGGCCTCTTAAGGCCGTACAATAATAACAAACGTCCCAAATGACCGGAAAATGAGAATAATCCCTCAAGAATGCATCACAGGCATTTGGAAATCCTATAATGATCATTCATAATTGTTACATTGTAAGTGTAAAAGGAAAATCACCTCTCGATGTCTGCCTTTGAAAACGACAGCAAAGGCGCCATGTCCTATCAGGTCCTTCCGACTGAACTCAAATTTCCCCACCGTCTCCATGTCGAAAGTCCGAATTTCTCCAACTAAGACCTGGACCAATAGCCAGGGGGCCTCAGGTCACTCTTCACGTTGGATAGTCTTTTCTCCTCAGTCAAGTGGAGGCTGCTGCAGGAACGTTCACCCCCTCTTTCGCTTGCCATGGATTGGCTTCCCAACAGCAAATTGTCCTCTTCTCTCATGTTCGCACGGTTCCCTGTTGGAGTTTAACTCCTAGCAGAGCTGTACGTTTATTTCCATCACTGGCAAAGCGACTAACACGAAGTTAGCTAACTTGACAAACTGGAAGCCGACGACTGTAGCAGTTTTACAGCTGTCTTTGACGTGCCACCTTAAGAAGCAGCTTGCTGCGTTTTGTTTATATACAGGAGGTCCAGACTTCTGTCGCCCGAGACTTCCACCCGGCGAAAAGACGACAAACTGAGCTTAAAACAGGTTGACAACATTTACAGTCCAGTGGGTGCGATAAAAAAATCCTCTCAATACATTTCAAAATAGCAGCTGACTTCGCTGAAAGTCACAGCATCGACGCTCACAACAAAGCAGAATCTGTTTTCGATGGCAAATGCGCATGCGCATCTAATTACAGCTGTAGGTTTGACGTCACTCGTTTTTCTTCGGGAGCCATAAAACGAGATCGAAGTGTAAAATCAACTTAGGAAAGTTGTTATTACAACACAGATGTTTCAGATAAAATAGCTTAAGTCAAAACACGCTAAATGTCTTGAATTTATAAGAAAGTAAACAACACAAAAATAAGGAAACATTACATGATACAATGCCATCAAAACGTTGGTTTCTTTTCTGCAACCAATAAGCTCTTAAACTCGCACATTACGCACATTTCTGTCCTTTATTTCTGTTCATTTTGATGATTTTGACTTTCAGCTAATAAAAATATTAAAATTAAACCAAGATATCAGGATGAAAACTATAATCCTACACAACTTTGGTCCATTATTAGGTGAAATTTCCTCATGAATGAAGGTTCCACATTCACCATTTTGAATATTGAAATGTATGGGAATGTCCAACTACCACCCACTTAAGAAGAAGCCAGGTTTGATTTTTCTGAAATTAATGTGTTTTGTTGTGAAATGTTCATATCAACACCGGGACAGACTACCTGATCAAGATGCTTGTTGAAGTTGGTAAAAGAGTGTATTTACATAAAGTGAAACAACAGGTTTAAAAGCTACTCAGTGAGGGGGAGGCCATCATTCTAAAAGCAACATAAGCATCCAGATTACAAGTTTGAAAAGTACACAGGTACAGAGGCCTTCATTTGTGAGACAGGCCCATGGTCTGAGCAAACTAAATTGGGGTGTTGGCTCATAATGACCATCATTAGATTTAAAAGAAAAAGGCAGTAGCAAGTCTGGGACTGTCATCCCGGCTGTGAAGTATGGCGGCAGCCTTATGTTGTGAGGGAGTTTTGTGCAGGAGCAACTGGTGCACTTAACAAAATAGATGGAAAGCACTTCGCCTGCAAATATTGAAATAACATCTCAAGACTTAAAACAGAGCTTCTGTCTAAGCAAATCTGCGAAGTTGAGTCGTTGGCAAACAATAATAACCATTGGTAGAAAACTTATGCGAGAAAACATGCAAAGTGAAGAGAAACTAGTAATTATACACTCAACCAATAGTTGATGTCACTGGTACTTGGGTGTTGAAAGATTTGGAAAAAAAATGCATAGAAGGAAGAAAACCTAACCAAGCATACGCTGTGTGAAAACCATAACATATAGCAACTCATAAAACTCACAATTCATGACTCAAACTACATACCATACCGAATTAGTCTACCGTATGACATAATTTTTTACTTATTTAACTAATTTCTATCACTGCATGTGTTTTGGACTTGTAAGTATCGCAACCTTACAGAACCTCTGGTATGTTTTTATATTACTATATTTACTGCACCTTTAGACGCTAAGAAGACATACTGCTGACAGGAAAAAGTTGGTCTTACCCTCGCTGCACCAAATGTATGCACAAGAACAAATTATATGAATGCATTCAGTATCAATATGCAGGCGTCAGCTGATGAATATTTACAAAAATGTTCCATATAACTACCAGAAGAGGGCAGTGATGTAATGTAAACCAGTTCAGTTCAACATTTTTACTGTTGAGTGCCTTAGTCTGGGAAAATCCCAGAAATGGTGAGCATTTAAATTCCATTAAAGACTTCCTTGCTATTTTTTCCTGTTTGTTTGCTTATTAGTTTTCCCATATACATCATAGTAATGTAAATATTAACGATACAAAACAATAGGCGACATAAAGAAAGAAAATGTAAGAATAAATTATGAAAAAAATATTGAATTTACATCTACTATTATTATGTAAAACGCCTGCAGTCACATTGATTAATCTCAGTTAAAAACAGCTGCAAGCTGACAAGCTGCAGTCTGGCAAATACAGTGACAGATTTACAAAATAGTAAACAAATGATAATTCTGCTTTGAGTCCTGTGCTTGATTTAACACGCCAGACAGTTTTTGCCTGAGCAGGACAGTTGGTGTTTCTGCAGAAGGATACACACCACACCACCTTACAGGTGTCTAACTCTGCAGGAGTTCGCTTTGGTGTTGACTATTTTTGTCGCTCTGTGGCTCCAACAGGATGATTGATTGGTTCTTCCTGGCCTACTTCAACTTTCTGTTTGTGTCAGTCAGCGGAAGAGCCTTCAGGTGTTCGCTCTGGGTAGAAATGGAAATTCCTAGCCAGACGGGTCCCAAAGTGCGTGCACGCTGCATACAGATTCCGAAGGTAGGTCTTGTTGATCTTGTGTGTGAATGAAATATTTACACTCACTCACGGCAATCATGCCTGTAAAGAAAAAATAAATAAATCACAGCCCCCTACAGACACTATCACCTTTGATAGCAAAGTCAAACATTTTCGCTCAATAAAGTTTCAGGGAATAAAAATGTCACATGGACCTCGTCTTTTTCGGTGTCCAACATAACTGTAGACATTTTGAGGATAGTTTTATCAGACCATGAAACATAATTTCACAAGGTCTTAGGTTTTTACTAGGTCTTGATTTTTTTCTGTGAAAAAAAGAAAAAGAAA